AACTTCTGACCATGGTAGGAAAAATTCTGAGGCCTTGGATTATAATTGGAGATTTCAACTGCATAATAAGTTCTGACAAAAAGTGGGGGCGGGGGGGTTCAGAGAAGATCAGTCAAGATGCATCAATGTTTAAAAAGGTAATGGAAACTTGTGAAGTCTAGGAAATTAAGATGCTAGGAAGTGTCTTCACCTCGAGTAATAAGCAAGTAGGAGAAAGAGGAATTGTTTGGAAGCTGGACAGAGCATTAATAAATGAAGCGTGGCTTGAAGATTATGAAGAATCTAAAGCCCTTGTTCTACCTTCCGGATTATCAGACCATAACCCTATTCTCATCAGATGGGGAGATAAAATGGCAAGAAGGAACAACACTTTCAGAGTTTACAACATATGGTTAAAGAACCCTTCTTATGAAGACCTGCTAAAGGAGTATTGCGGTAAGAACAGTGAAGGAACTAAATAGTATCAGCTCTGGAGGAAATTGAAGGGACCTGAAAAAACCTCTGAAGGAGTTAAATAGACAGCATTTCAAGGATCTAGAGCAGCAGTTGGATGTGGCTAAGGGAAATTTAGAGGAAGTTCAAAGGAAATTGCAAAAAGATCCAATGAATGTTAAACTTCAAGCTGATGAGAAGCAAGGACTAAAAGACTATGTTGAGCTCTCTAAAGCCCTGATGAACTACTAGCAGCAACATTTGAAAGCGGAATGGGCTCAAGAGGGGGACCTTAATATGCGGTATTTTCACTCTTGTTTAAAAAAGACGATCAATCATAGTCGCATTACATCATACTTATCCACCAGGGAGAGTTAATAGATGACAGGGAGCAGGTGGAGCAACACTTTATAAACTTCTATGTAAACTTGTTGGGAACGGAATGCCAAAAGAAGCCAGCCGATACTAGCATATGTCAATCAGGGTTTAAACCTACTGTATACCAGCAGGTACGCTTGATTGAAAGTGTTACTGAGGCGGAAATCAAGGTAGCTATGTTCAGCATTAACTCTCAGAAAAGTCCAGGGCCAGACAGTTACAACAACGGGTTCTTCCAAGGATCTTGGGATATAGTGGCTAAGGAGGTAAATGGTGCTAAACTGGAATTCTTTAGGGCAGGCAAATTATTAAAGCAGTTTAATGCTACTCTAATTGCCTTAGTTCCTAAAGTAGAGAGACCTAGAGATGCTGCTGATTTTTGACCAATTACATGTTGTAATACAGTTTACAAATGTATTGCGAAAATTCTTAGTACTAGGTTAAGCAAGGTGTTGCCTGATATAGTTTGTCAAAACCAAGGTGCTTTCATACAGAATAGATCAATTCTCCATAACGTCTTGCTTAAGCAAGAGCTCATCAGACTCAATCGAAGGAAAAATTCAAAACCTTCCTGTTATTTTGACTCGATACATTGGGAATTCATCGCAGAAATGCTTCCTCAATGGGTTTCCCCCCAAAATTCAATGATTGGGTGATGGAGTGCATAAGTACCAGCAGCTACTCCCTTAATTTGAATGCAAATCTCACTGGTTATTTTGCAGGAAAGCGGGGACTTAGGCAAGGAGATCCTCTCTCCCCTTTGCTGTTTTTTCTAGCAATGGAATATCTCACCAGGATGTTCCAAAAGGCTGCAAAGGAAGGGAGCTTCAAATTTCATCCGAAATGCGAAGAGCTGGGGATTATTAATCTCTACTTTGCGGATGACTTGATAATACTCAATCAAGCAGATGAAAGCACAGTGCAAATTGTAAGAGAAGTGTTGAATGAGTTTGAAGCCATCACAGGGTTGTCTGTAAACATGAAGAAATCAACTATGATCTTTGGGAATGTCAAAGAGGACCTGAAGCAAAGGTTGCTGGACATAACGGGGTTTAAACAAGATAGCTTTCCATTCAAGTACCTAGGAGTTCCTGTCTCTCCAGTGGCATGGACTGAGAAGGAATGTGAAAGCCTAATGGAGAAAGTGACGGGCAGAATAAGATGTTGGACTACAAGACATCTTTCATATGCCGGGAGGTTAGTCTTGGTAAATTCAGTTCTATTGCACCTGCATACGTATTGGTCTAGTGTGTTCATCAGCCCTAAATCTGTAATTTAAAAATTAGAACGAGTTTGTCGTACTTTCTTATGGGGAACTAAAGAATCAGGTAAGTCTTGGTCATTGGTGGCTTGGGCGGATGTATGTAAAGATAAGGCTCAGGGAGGTTTACATATAAAAAATTCAGAAATTTGAAACAAGGCATTTATAGTTAAGCAAGTTTGGGACTTGGCAAACAGAAAAGAAATTCTTTGGATTAGATGGGTACGTATGTACTATATAAAATATCAAGATTTCTGGGATTACCAGCCCCAAGTTGACTGCAATTGGCATTGGAGAAAGATTATCAAGATTAGAGACCAACTAAAGGGAGGAATGCAGGGTGGTGTTTGGTTGATGAACTCAGGGAAAGCATACAATGCAAAGTCAGGTTACAGGTTGCTAATGGGTGATATACCAAAGTCCAGAGAGTTCAGCATTGTGTGGAGTCCATTTGCACTACCTAAACATAGCTTTATAGGGTGGCTAGCAGTAAAGGACAGATTACTCACGCGAAACAGGTTAGCCAAGCTATAGGTGTTGAAGGAACAAGAAAACTGTGTGTTCTGCACTGGGAACTCAGAAGCTGTTGATCACTTATTTATTGATTATGAGTTCTCTAAGCAGTTGGTGCAGTGTTTACTAGAATGGCTGGGTTTGAGGATTGAAGTCAAATGCATCAACAAATGGTTGTCTAGGCAGTTGAGCATATGGAGATTCAGGAAGCTAAAGCAGAAGGTCCTTCATGCCACCATCACAGTAGCAATCTGCCATATATGGACAGAACGTAACAACATAAGATTTGGACTGAAGCGGAAGTCAGTTGAAGATAGGAAGCTGGAAATAGTTAGAGAAATCTCTTGGAAAGTTCACTATCTTTGTAGATTTGGAAGCAATGATGATATTAGCTTTCTAGAAAACTTGGGGGTTAAATTAAATTCTAGTTCTCATACTGTATAGACTTGTTGTATAGCACAAGAAAGAATTGGAGCATGTACTGATCAAAATGTCAATGCAAAGACTTTTTACCTTTGATAAAAAAAATATATATATCACAAGCTGTTGAATAACTTTGCCCTAAGGCAGTAGTTCAATTCCATATTTAGACAGCATACAGTTTTGTTGAATATCATAAAGATTAACACATCTTTTTAGTGGTGTACAAGAAGAAAACTCAAACTTCTGCCGCATTTCACATAAGCTCATGTATGCTAAAATACATGTATATAAACTATAAACATATGAAGGAATTGAGCTTTTGATTTTAATTTTCATACCTCACACTAAATTTAGTGAACTTCAATTAAAATCATACAATTATGAAAATCACATACATCATATTAAAGTTTTAACTATATCTGCATATTCATTTGAGATAGAAGTTTCCTTTAACTAACATATTGTATGATAAGTTATGTGGGAATCAATCAAGTTTTCGATTCAATAATTGAAAATTTTAGGAATTTTCTCAATATATCGAGGCAGAGCATGACTGTATCACACTTTCTCTATGTTGCTTTTCAGAAAAGACATTTGTTTTGGCCATGTCTTTAATCTCAAACTTAAATGATAACAAAGTTTTTGTTTCTAACGCTTATTCTAAGTCTATCTATACCAAAAAGTTAACTTGTCATCTACATCCAAACACATACTGACCCATTTGTCATTTAAATGTTTCTTCAATATATACTTGTTTGATTTATATATATATTGAATCAACACTACTCATTTTATGTCAAAATATAATTTCACAAATTAGAGTTATCATACACAACACATAAAATATCATCATCCTCACATAATAATGACACCTTTGCATATTCATGATATATGTTGATATCACAATATATTATATAAACTACATATCATGTGATACTTAATAGATTAGACACAATTTGAACCAGTATATTTTAACTAACAACCTTTGGGTTTGTGACTCTTGAATGACTAGACATAACCTTTCATTTATATCATCTTTCATTCATACCCTTTGATTTAGTGCACTTTTTTCTATTAAACTTGATTTTTGACTTGCTTCTTTTCAAAAAAAGACAAAAAACATAACTTTATGTTGATGCCTTCATACTTGTCACGATTAGAAACAACATACAATTTGTATCTTTTCGCCTTGAGTCTATAGACACAATTATTCATTAATGTCTTTTCATTTAGACTCACAAAACACACCCCTTAGTGTATCTCTTCATCCCAACAATTCAAAAGTCACTTCATTTCATGAATGAAAGCATCTTTTGGTTAATGACTATCAATATTTTGCATCACTTTATGATACTTACACATTCATAACATGAATTATTTTTCTTTTCATATATTATGCAATCTATCTAGTTTATTTTCACATATAAAATCATATATGCAAAAATTATTAATTCTTAAGTATCTTATCCTTTTCAAAGTACGTAGATCACATCATACTATGCATCACATGAATTTAATATTTAATCAGAAATTTATTTCAACAATTAATTATTCATTCTGTAACAAATACAACCACACCAAATCAGCACTCTATTAGGATCAAAGTTCATTATTTGATTGACCTAGAAAACAAACAATTAATATGTGAAAAAAACATTACTATCGGGAACTCTCTCTCTCTCTCTCTCTCTCTCTCTCTCTCTCTCTCTCCGGTTCTCTCATCCTCACCGTACTAGTGGCCGGAATTTGCACTTGTTTCACGGTCTTATGAGACCGGTGAACAAGCCGAGGAGCTCCCCACTGGACCTCCTCACACATTTGCGAGTTTTTTCCAAAAGCCAATAGATGCCCCTTGTCTAAAGGCTCATTAGTTAAGGAAGTCCGACTTGTTAATGGTGTTCCCGTTTTGGAGTATGAAGAAGATGAATATGACCAATTGGTAGCCCCACACCAATTGAGCCTAATCGGGAAGTTTTCATATGGTCGACTGAAAATGGAAGAGGTCCGTAAAGAATTCAAGAAGCTAGGGTTCCATGGAGGCTATACTCTTGGCCTTATGAATCCTAGGCATGTTCTCATTCGATTTGAAAGGGAAGAGGATTATCAAAGATGCTGGATTAAAACATTTTGGAACATCGCCGGATTCTCCATGAGAATTTTGAAATGGAGGCCGGGTTTCAAATTTGAGGAAGATCCCCCCATTTTCCCAATCTGGGTCTCCGTCTTTGATCTCCCGATTGCATTCCTCAATCCGGAGGTAATTTTTTCGATGGCAACCACGATTGGGAAGCCATTGAAGGTGGATGCGCATACTCTCAACATGACAAGGCCTTTGGTAGCGCGTTTTTGTGTTGAAGTTGACCTTACAAAAGAGTTCCCAAAATCTGTGAAGGTGGGAAAGAAAGGCAAGAAGCATGACCAGATTTTCACCTACGAACACATTCCGACTTATTGCACTAAGTGTAACAAGATCGGCCACAAGATTGATGATTGTCGGGCTGGCTTCCAAAAGGCTGTTGATAAGAAGAAAAAGGCTCCGGTGAAGATTGTTGATAGAGCCAAAAAGATGGATCCCTCGCATGAAAATGCCCCAAAGATGCAGGCGACGTCTGCTTCAAACTCTAGCGTGGAGGAGACAGCCGCGACTAACCCTAGCGCGCAGCCAACGACAAACCCTAACGCGCAAGGTGGGGCTATGTCGGTTTCAATTGCTGCTACAGGCCGACCTTCTTCGTCTGGACTTTCTGCCAAGGAGAAGAAGACGATTCCGGTTGATGTGCATGACACTGCAGCAGAAGATCAGCCCAAAGAGGCTTCCAGCTTACCGGTTTCTCCCTCGCAAACCAAAGAACCAGGTTGCACGCCAAACCCTAGCGCGCAGCCCGTTGCGGAGAAGAATAGATTTTCTGTTTTGTCTTCGATTCAGGAGATAGATGATGAAATCGGATCTGACAAAGACTTCATCGAATCAGTTTATGTGGAAGACTCCCCAAATAAGGAAGTAGAGGAAATATGTCGGGTTGATGATCATGTTGAATCACGTGTTCTATCGTTGATGTCCTTGACGGAGACTCCTCATATTTTTTCTAACGATGCTGACATCGGATTGCATGGAGCTGGTTTGGAGAACGATACGGGAAGCTGGTCTGAGGGTGAGAAGGACGAGGTCCTGGTGCATGGGGACGTCCGGGGAGATTTCACGTTTACAAAGAAACGTGGTCGCAAATCCAAGGAGGAGTGTGCAAGATCACAGGAGGGTTTGGTGCTGCGGCGATCAGCCCGCTTAAACTGATTTCTCTCTGATTCTTTTTCCAATGTTAAATCAAATAATATGGAATATCCGAGGCATAAAAAGCCAGGCGCCCCAAAGGCGTTTGAGGAGTTTGCTTCGGGTCTATAATGTTCGGATTCTGGTTATTTTGGAGCCTATGCTTTAGGTTGATAAGTTAGATGAAATAAAGCGAGAGCTTGTGTTTGATACTGCTTTCTCTTTAAATAACAGCAAAATATGTTTTTTTTGCAAATCTGAAATTCAAGCTTCTTTGTTGCGAGATGATGATCAAGTGATGCACTTTGAAATTAGTCATCCTCTAGTGTCTCGGTCTTACCTATTGTCGGCTGTGTATGCTAAATCAACAAGGGCTGGAATACGTGAGCTTTGGCAAAGTTTGGAAGGCTTTAAACATAATAATATGGGTGCTCCTTGGATGGTATGTGGGGACTCTAATGTTATTAGAAGCTTGGAAGAATACAGTGGTGTCTCGGTGCAGGACCATTCGGCCATAGAAGATTTCAATATGTGTATTCAGGCTTGCAATTTGCTAGAGATTCCAGCTGTTGGTGAGGACTTTACTTGGGGTGGAACAAGGCAAACCGGTTGGGTGAGCAAAATATTAGATAGAGTCCTTTTCTCGGATGAATGGCTGGACTTCTTTCAAGTTAATTCCATTGAGAATTTGAGTAGAACAACGTCCGATCACAGCCCCATGCTACATATGTTTGGAGTGCAAGGAGTTTCCAAGCCTAGAGTTTTTCGGTTTCAGCAAATGTGGCTGCGAAGATCGGAGTTTATTTCAGTAGTCAAGGAGAATTGGGAGCAACCTATAGATGGTTTTGGAATGATAGCTTTCTCTCTCAAATTGAGAAGCTAAAAATCAAGCTTAAAGAGAGGAATAATTCGTGTTTTGGTGATGTCTTCGCCAACTTGAAGGAAGTGGAAGCAAAGGTGCAACACTTAGAAAAGCTTCACGATCTATCCGGCTTGGAGGGTGACATAATGAACTTGCATAATGCAAAGGCTTTGCTGCTGTTGAGGCTTAAAGAACATGAGGATTTTCTAAGACAAAAAGCACGAATTAGGTGGTTGAAAGAGGGTGATGCTAACACATCCTACTTTCATGCTTCTTTAAGAGAAAAACGGCTGAGACAAAATATCCATAAAATTCAGGATCGACAAGGAATCATGCTAACCGATTTGAATGCCATTGAACGAGAAGCTGCTGGTTTCTTTGAGGATCTTTTGAGTGAGGATTCGACAAGGAATCATGCTAACCGATTTGAATGCCATTGAACGAGAAGCTGCTGGTTTCTTTGAGGATCTTTTGAGTGAGGATGCTGCCTATAGCTCTTCGCATGATGCCGCGCATGAGGTTTTCTTGCAACATATCCCGGTTATTTTGGGGGATGAGGACCATGACCTTCTCTTGCGTCCCATCTCACTTGAGGAAGTCAAAGAAGCTGTCTTTAATCTGAATGAAGAAAATGCTCCAGGAGTAGATGGATTCACTGTGTTTTTTACCGAAGTTGTTGGAATGTCATCTCGGAGGATCTTTGGTCCGCATGCAAAGAGTTTATGCTTGGGGTGCCAATTCCACGAGCTATTGCTAGTACTTTGATTACCTTGCTCCCAAAAAAGCAGACTGTAAGTACTTTTTCAGATTTTTTCCCTATTAGTCTTTGCAATTTCCTCAACAAGATTTTTACCAAAATTTTGACCGAGCGTTTGAAGGTGGTGTTACCAAAAGTTATTTCTGAGGAACAGTAAGCTTTTTTGTCTGGTAGGGACATCATTGATAATGTTCTCTTGGCACATGATCTTTGCCAGTTCATAAATCGCAAGACAGAGGGAGGTAATATTGTTTTGAAAATTGATATGATGAAAGCTTTTGATAGGGTTAAGTGGAACTTCCTTGAATCTATTTTACTGAAGTTTGGTTTTCCGCCACTTTTTGTAAAATTAGTCATGAATAACCTTCAGAACAGTTGGTTTTCTGTGTTGATAAATGGCAGTCCTGCTGGATTTTTTAAAGCTTCCTGGGGAATCAAGCAAGGGGATCCGTTGTCGCCTTACTTGTTCATCATAGTTTCGGAGGCTTTAACTAGAAGCTTGAAAACTCTAGTTTTGGAAGGTAAGATTGCTCCTTATGGATCTCCTGCTGGTTCACTTGTGGTCTCTCACTTGTGTTTTGCAGACGATTTGATTATTTTTACAAAGGGGACTCAAAGATCTTTACGAAGGCTAAACTCTTTCTTTGAGCAATATGAAAAAGCTACAGGTCAAAAAATCAGTAGGGGTAAAAGCTCTTTCGTGGCTTCGGAGAAGTGTAGTTCAAGAAGAATTGAAATGATCAAAGGCACATTGGGAATGCAACATGGCGCGTTTCCCTTCACATATCTGGGATGCCGGATATTTAATGGAAGGAAAAAGGTGGCTATATTCCAATTTCTCTTGGATGCTGTGGATGCTAAGCTCCTGAATTGGAAAAACAAGTTTCTATCCCCGGGAGGCCGGCTCATGCTGATTCGGTATGTTTTGAGTTCTATGCCACTTCATGTATTCTCAAGAATTCCACCACCTAAGTCGATCATTAGGGATATGGAAGCTCGCTGCCAAAAGTTTCTTTGGGAAGGATCAAGTGAGGTTAAGAAGCGGCATTGGTGCTCCTGGGAAAGAGTCACTTTTCCTGTTCATGAAAATGGCCTTGGGTTGAGAAGTTTTGAGGATGTTATCTCTGCCCTTACTTCAAAATTATGGTGGAAATTGAAGAAAAACAAGGGCATTTGGAGTGCCTTTCTTCACTCCTTGTCTCATTCGGCTAAGGAGAAGACCTCTTGGGCTAGAGTAATGAAAGTTGGTGAGCGAGCTATAACATTCTCCAAGATTATTGTACGAAGTGGTGATCGATCCTTCTGGTTTGACAATTGGGGTGGGTCCTAATGGTGTCTTTTGGGTTAATGCATTTGATAAGCCTCCATGGCCGGACCTTTGCATTCGAGAATTTTTGGAGAATAAAGACCATTACCTACCGGCTTTACAAGGTCCCCTTAGTCCAGCAAACTTTGCCTTCTTGGAAAGTTTTGATATGGATTTTATGGAGGGTGATGATATTCTTGTTTGGCAAAGTACTCCTCAAGTACAATTTACGGTAAAATCCGCTTTTGAGTCCCTTCGATGGAGGCAACAACCAGATTTGATGCTTAAGCCTTTGTGGCACAAGTTTGTTCCTTCGCGCATCTCTTTTTTCCTCTGGAGATTGCGCAATGGTTTGCTTCCATTTCCTGAAATTGTTAGTGCCTTTGGTATATCAACAAGGCCTTCTATGTGTCTCCTTTGCAGAAACAAAAGTGATGATTTGCATCATTGCTTTTATGGTTGTGATTTTATTACAGCTATATGGGATCACTTTGCTCTTGTTATGAGTGTAGAAGTTCGGGGGCATAGCACTTTGTTGGGTCTCTTGAAAAAGTGGTGGCGCCATGGATCTTTCGCATCAGCGAAAAGTCTTTGTATTACTTATTCCCCATCTTTATTCTTTGGGAAGTTTGGAAGGCAAGAAATAAGGCAATCTTCGAAGGAGTTCACCCCTCTTTAAGCTCGGTCATTCACCTAATCCATCATCAGGTTAAAGACTTAATCTTTATTCATGGCTTAAAAGTAGTGGATGATGCTGAAAATTCTTTTATTTTAAGCCTTTTTGGATTTCACTTGACTCGAGCTAATAAAAGGTATCCTAAAGTAGTGAGATGGATTCCCCCAGATTTGAACTGTTTTGTTTTGAATTCGGATGGTTCATCTAATGCTAATGGGGCCGGTTATGGTTTTGTCATCCGAGGAGAAGCTGGTAAGTTCATTTATGGAGAAAGTGGATATTTGGGTGAGAGAGATTTTTTCCAAGCAGAAATTTTTGGTATTCTATTTGGACTTCGCAGGTGCGAGCTCTTACAACTTTCAAATGTTAGGGTACAAACTGATAATCATTCTCTGTCTTGTATTTTGAATGAGAAGAGAGGATTTCCATGGCGTTTTCATTTGGAGTTGATAGAGATGTGTTCTATCATCTCAAGGAATAATTTCTTGGTCTCTCATATCTACAGGGAAGGCAATGCAGTTGCAGACTTTTTAGCTAAACAAGCATCAAGTGAAGTATCTAATGCTTACAATTGTTTTGTATCACTGCCTAGTTTTGTAAAGGGACTTTTGATATTAGATCAATTGTCCTTTCCATATTTACGAAAGTAGTTTCTATGGCTTTGTACAAGGGTAAGACATAAACACTATCCTCCTTTTTTTCTACATTTTAATAAAATCGGGGAAGCGTGAAGCTAGGGAACTATATATTATGAATGTCCATCCCTTGGGTAGAGCCCTTGGGTGCATTGTACTATATAGCACTGCCTACCTCAAAAATTTACCTCCTGGGTAGACCCCTTGAGTTTTTTTGAGATAGGTGGAACTTGAATGTCACCCTTGCCTTCCTGTTGAGTTAAAAAAAAAAACAATTAATATGTGATGCACTCATAAAAATTCTGCACACATGAATTTATTATTTTATTTTGTTTTGTTTTTTCTTAAGTTTCTGTCGTCAACTTTTATGTCGACTTTATCCAGGTGACGACTAAGTCAATAAGGCCAAACAACCAGACACTTCAAAGGATGTCGACTTTTCTGTCAACTTTAATTCACCTGACTAACAAGTCGACAAAGCTAAAAAATCAAACATTTCAATGAACGCCAACTTTTCTGTTAACTTTACTCTTGTCGACGAATAAGTCAACAAATTCAAACAAAATGAAATACAAATTTTTCACAAAGGTCAACTTTTCTGTCGACGATCTTTTATCGACAACAAGGTTGAAACCACTTAACAGAAAACTCATAACATACAATCAAAGTACTCTGTTGCTATATCACATAAATGCCAATTTTGCATTTTCTTTTCAAAGCATGATAAAATATGACCAAATTCTCTATCAATCAATTTATGACATATATTTTCTTAATTAATCATGACA